GTGTGGTCCAAACCCACCAGCTACTCTGCAGGAGGAAGAGGAGGCTACCTGCCCCATACAATTCACAGCCTTGGAATCTCCAGATAAGGAAGTTCTGAGTGGAATCGACTCAATGGGTTTGGTTCCCAGGTTAATCTATATGACTAATAATGTAAAGCGCTTCTATAGAATATATCTTGTCATTAAATCATATAGTAATTTTCAAAAGCGGCTAGGGATTATAATTCAGAGAGAAGACTGGATTTACCTGGTCACAGGTAAGGTGTGTTCTAATGATTTTGCTTCACCCCACGGGCTCTTCGGAGGTTCTGCATATAGAAGTGAAGACTGGCAGTGGATGGCTAAAGGAGAGAGGTGCCCAGGGGTTGGCCACAGCACATTTGGGGCCATGGCCTGTCGGCCAGGTTCACCTTCCGCGTTACTGGCACTGCTGGGGATACTGTAATTCATCACCGCGGGGCTGTAGAACGTCATGGCCGAATATTCATGATGGCTCTCTACGTAGGAGGAAGGGAGATAGAGCTGGCCGTGCTCCAGGGGCAGAGCCGACTGACTGCAGTTGTAAGAGACAGGAGAGTGAAGGCTAGATGGTGAGTTTTTGATATCCATGTCTGGAACGGGTCAGTTGAGAAAACGCCTATGAGTAGAGGCACAAAGGAACATGAGAATGTTCTCCAGAACCTCGAGGCAGGCGGGTGGCTGGAAAGACAAAGAAAACCATCACAGCGTTAGCGTCTTCAGGTAAGCGTGACTTTTGGAAGCGCCTAAGCATTATTTTATTTGCCAGGGTTTCCAGTTCAGATCATCATTTTTGTACTCATCAACAGTTTAAGAAGTTTTATTTAGAAAAATACACACACATCCGTCTGAGCTTGGAAATATAAGCAGAAAGATGGAAATGAAGGTATTAACGCAGAGGGTAAATGGGAGGCACGGAGATCTGAATGCCTACTTCACTCGCTTCTGTCGGGCTTTTTTTAAAACCAGAATAACTGATTACACGTACACCCCCTCCCTGTGTTTCCTGCCTCCATCCCTCCCTTCCCTCCTCACCCTCCGAACACTGTCCGGGGGCAAATATTGAGACGAGATGGGGACGCAATGGGTGAATTGAGGCAGAATACATATGAATTGCTGGATGTAAAGCTGTGGTCCGCTCTGTAAACTTTTGCCCAATTCACGAAAAGACTTGAAAATAATAAAAATAATAATAGCTGGGGCCAGGGCGGGGAGGGACATAAAGGGGTGAAAGCGTATGTGGACTTTCGTTACTAACAGAGGCAGATTCTCTTCCCGAAACCTAAGAGAACTGAGTAAGTTTCACATTTTAACATTCAAATTGTGTAACAGCATGAATTTATATTCTAATTTACCCAGTATCCTCAAAAAA